CAAAAAATGGATAACACGCCAAGCTACGTATCTAGTTCCCACCCGCCTCCTGAGCTCCCGACAAGCACACCCAATCGTCCCCTGACATCATGACCTGGGTCTCTCACAGGAACCTCTAATAACCTGTAAAACAGAATGCATTACCTTCTCTGTAGATCTGTTCTTCCTTTTCTGTCCCTTAGCCCTGAGAGATAGCACCACCATCTCTGTCCTCAGCTGCCCAAGCCAGGAACCTGGGGCCATCTCTGACTTCTCTTTGCCACCCCTCCACCATCAATCACCAAGAGCTGAGCAGTCCTGATCTCTTCATTCTCTCCATCCCCATTCCACCACCTGGTCTAGGCTCCGTCTTCCCCCAACTTGACTCTCTCCTGGTCTCCCCAGCAGTCTTGCCTGTGTCCACCATACACTCTACTCTGTTGCCAGATGAATCCACTTCCCTACTTAAAGCTTCCGGTGGCTGCCAGCTGACCCACTTATATCTCCGGTGTCTCGTCTTGCCCCCTATTCCCTAACACTGAGCTTCTTGCAGTTCACCCCTGGACTGAGTGAGGGCCCTGGTGTACTGTCCCTCCCTCCGCCACTCTTACCTGTGGAGAGGAGGAGAACCAGCACAGGTGGCCAGGGACTGATAGCAGCCTCCTTCCCTCACTTCCTCTTTGGATGTGTATGGGGTCCTTGAGGGGGGGCACCTGGTGCCTCTGTCACCCATTTGTCTACCTTCTCTTTCTCCTTCCTTCTCTTTACCTTCCCACAAGGCCCAGGGAACTGGGGTGAGGTGGGGCCCCTGACTCTGAGAAGATGTCCTTGTCAGGAAGGAGCCAGGCTCTGAGCTTAGACAAGGTTGCCAACAGCTACCTTGGAGTGGGGCGTGAGAAGTGAATGAACATTTTTCAGCCACTGCCCTGAGAGACACCTGGTACTGCAGGGAAGCAAGGGCACATGGGGGCTAGGCCTTTTGGGAGTGGCTGAGACCTTGCTGTTTAAGGGGCTAATCAGCAGCAGGGCTGTGGGTGAGATGGCAGGAGCGGCAGCAGCTCTGAGAGGGTGAGGGAGCTCCATTCTGAAAATGACCCCGGGCCTTGAGAAAGGGTCACTCATCACTGTCTTCATCCCCTAGCATTCTGACCCTCCTTCTAACCATGGCCTGAGTGGGAGGAGGGAGGCCTTAGGGGCCAGTGGGTGGGGATGGGGCCAGGGGAAGCCACATTCCTGGAGTGTTAATGATCTCCGGGCTGGGCAGGAGCTGAGCCCCCAAACCAGCTAAAAACAACAAACAGCTCCTAGGAGGGATTTGTGTCTGTCCTGAGAGTCAAAGATTTCCGCCCGGATGGGGGCTGTGGCCAGTGGGGCTCTTCCACAAAGAAATTCCCCCGAGACCAGAAGCCCCATGACCTAGAAGTATCGCTTTGAGAACAGACCCCACCCCCATCCTTTTCCCTCCCCCCACTCTCCTAGGGAGGCCCAGCGCCCAGGTAAGGGAGGCAGCAGCCCTCCTGACACATGGGAGGCATGAGAGAAGAGTCTGTGTGCTCCTCACCTGGTATCTCCAGTCCTCACACCAGCCCAGCAAGTGATGCTGCTCTTGACATTTTAGAGCTAAAGACACCATGGCCCTGCTAGGGAAGGTGCTCCTTAAACATCTGAGGGAATTAAGGGGTGCATAAAGGAAGTGACTGGCTGGAAGTCACAGAGTCATGCTGGGGCCAAGCTGGGACTGGAACCTGGGTCAGCCTGACCCCAACCATGGACCTCACCTCTACTACGTGGTCCCCCTGGCAATGGGAGGCCATCAGCTGCTCCCTGCAGGGGTGGAAGAGGCCTTGGAGGTCCGGGAGAAGAGTTCAGATCTCACTCCCTCAGGAATTCTGGGGGCTGCCTAGAGGAAGAAGAGCCAGCATTGTCAGAAGGTGGCTGAGGCCTGGCCGAGGGACTGTGGAGCAGCTAGGAAGGGGCAGAGTTCCTGGGGCTAGTGCCATGCACGCTGCAGACATGGCAACCTTTCCACTTGGCTCAAACCTTGCCTTCCTATGAAGCCTCTCTGGGCTCCCAGGCAGTCCAGAACTACCCTCCCCCTGCACTCCCCCTCCCAGTGCCCTGGAGATCAACAGTACGAGGATCTACCCAAATCCCTGTCTGCTCAAGTTCCTTGCAGTGGGGCCCTTAGTAAAGGGCAGGGGCCTTCTGCAGAGTTCAGCCCACCCCTCTGTCCCGCGTCTTGCCCTCACATGCTCTTCCATCCTTTCCTCTCCCTTTCCTTCTGGGCCTCCCAGTGAGCCTGACTCCTCCCGGAGCCCCCGGGTCTGCCCCTTCCTCAGGGGCCTTCCCACAAAACCCTCAGGCAGCCCTGGCTTGTCCTCACTGTGCTTCCGTACCCCTCTCGCTCCCACCCACAATCCAAAAAGCCAAGCCCTGAGGCTTTAAATCCATCATTTATTGCCCACAGCTCATTAGTATTACATAAATCAGAGACTGAGAAATTTTCTGAGAAGGTTAAAAAGACACCGCAAAGTCTCCTTGGTGTGGCTAAGGCACGTGTGCTGGTGCCTCCCTCACACCCGGCCCGGGGCTGGAAAACCACCTTGCCTCTGGTCTTCCTTCTCTCAGGGACCCCCCACCCTGCTCCCAGGCCAGGGGCTCAGGACAGAAAACAAGCCAGCTCACAATCAGGAAGTAGAAAGGGGCCGTCAGGCACCTCGCCCCAGCCGCCGTCTAGACATCTTGGGCTTCTTGTCCCCGCACCATCGGATTGTTCTCTGGAAATGGGAGAAGGGTGTCCCCGAGTCTGAGGGAATGTCTGAAGTGACCAGGAGAAGGTGGGCCAGTACACCAGACCTAGAGAACCGGGGTGGCAGGGGTGCCCTGTGTTCTGACACAGCTGGGCCAGCTACCCCCTAACTGTGGGGCCCGGCTCAGCCTCCTCCCCAGTCATGAGCCAGTCTGTCCGCCACGTCCCTTCCTCTGGCCTCGGCTGAGTGGGGGATGGATGCTGGCAGAAAGTTTTCCCTCGTGGTGTTTTCCACAGCCAAGCCAGGGCTTATCTTAGCAGCATGGCCCACTGGACCCCCACCATCCACCCTGAGCTATACAGATCCTTTGCCAATCCCCTCCCCAAAGAGGAGTCCCCTTAGCTCACCTGGAATTGCATTTGGGGGCATGACCAGAAATCATCCAGGAGACAAAGCAAGTCGGTTATGAGATGCCAAGGCCACAGGGCCGGGGCTGGGGTGGGGCTAGGCCAGGGCAGCCAGCACAGAGACGGAGTCGGAGAGACCCCATCTCTTCCAGGCCTCCAGACGGGGTGGGAGTGGGGCTGGGGTGTGCAGTTTTGGTCTCAAGGTAAAGTGCAAGAACAAGACAAGAACAAGACCCATAGAGAGGTGGGGCAGGGTGAGCTAGAAGAGAGCTTTTCAAAAGGGGACCCAGACGTGCCCAGCCTGTCATTGGCACAGTCATATTATGGCAGGATTAGCTCAAAAATACTTGACCCTCTCACACTGTGGCAACCTTTCCCTCCACTGTTTTGTTCTCCCTACTTGCTCTGCTTTCACCCTTTCCTGATTGGTCGGGGGCGGGGGGTGCCGCTCCTGAGGACACTGGGAGGGGGGCCCTCAGGGCAGCATCCTGCAGAAATAGCAGGGCCCGGCTGGCAAGTGAGGGCAGCAGGGGCTTCTGAGGGGGCGCCTGGTGTCCATGCCTGTGGAAGACCCACGTTACCACAAGCACCCCTGCACTGAGGATGGTGAAAGCCGCCCGTGGCCACACCCTTGCTGCCCTGCACTAGCCTTCTCCTGCACCTGTGTCACCACCAGCCACGTCTCTCCCCAGGTGGAGTCACCAGGGGAAGGGAGGCCCTGAGGCTGCAATGTTGAGGGCTCCAGTCCAGTTGGGGCCAGGAGAGGGGTCCAATGAGGCCCATGCTTCCTCTTTGTTTGCCCCGTTCCCCCTCCCTCTGCAGAGCCCCTGCCGACCTCTCCTCTTCCCGGCCCACAGGTGGGAGGAGACAGGAGCCAGCAGCACGTGGCCCCGGAGGCCAGTGCACGGTGAGAGGTGGCACGTGGGTGTGGGCCCCACGTAGGCACAGCCACCCACACTATCTCCTCCTTCAGAACTGCAAAGTGTCTGGCAAAGGTCAAGTGTTCCCAGGATGTGGGCCCACATACAGAAAGGCAAGGTCCAGGTTCTGAGGCCAACTGCTGGCTGTTCCCAGAGGGGCCTGCCCCTTTCCCAGTCCAGTGTCCACACTGGGGGATGTGCCTGGGCTGGCCAGCATCCGAGCAGGACAGGCGAAGACGAGGTCCTGCTGGAAGAGCCGGTGGGAACCCCTTGCTCCAGTCCTCTGGTTCCGGACAGGGAGTAGAGGCTCAGAGAGGGGAGTGGACTTCTCCAGGGTCACACAGCCCCTTCGTACTACAGCCAGGGCCTGCAGTTCCTGGCTGGAGGCTGACTCTCAGAGTCAGGTGCCTGGAAACCTGGCCTCCGCCCTCAGGCAGAAGACCCTCCCACTCAGGAAGTGGTGGGATGGGACAGACAGCCCCAGGGGGCCTGGAGAGGCTCCCCAGATGGCAGTCAGCCCGGCTCCAGCTCCAGCCCCACCCTTGGCCCAACTTCCAGCCTGGTAACTACAAGGAGGATCTTCCTGTAGAGGTCGGAAGTGCAGGCCCACAATTCCAACCAAACATCATTCCTTCTTGGGGTTTCTTGCCTGGAGCTGGGGTCATTTCAGGGGCCTCGAATGGATCAGCAGGGTTCCATGAAGGGTGATCCCAGCCCCAGGCACTGGGCTTCATGCAGAGGGATTGGTTCTGCAGCTTGTGCATGGATGAGGGCCAGCCACGCTAAGAGCCAACTGCCCACAAAATCTTTCAGAGGCCGTCAGTGCTCCTGACTCCCTGGGCGGGCCCCCTCCTGAGGACCTCGGTCATGGCTGCTGGTTCATCCTGTGAGATGTAGACTGCCCCCCCCAGCCCCCACCCCTGCCCCAGCCCAGCCCAGCCCAGCCCAGCCCAGCCCGGGGAGCCACTGGGCCTGGCCACCAGAATATCGTGAATCTATCAGGCCCGCTGCCAAACCCACCAGCCCCCAGGCCCACTCGTACGGCCACCGCCGGCAGCTGCTGCATCTGGGCAGCGGCAACCAAGGCTCAGACTTGATTCTGATAAAAAAGAAAAAGAAAAAAGAAAACCAAAGTATAAAAGGATCCTAATTCTACCCCGTGGGCACTGTACAAATATTCAGCTTCACACATAATTGTGCTAAGTAGAGTTCTGACAACCCCACCTAAGGCCCAGAAATGCACTTGATTATTTTTTATAGGAAATGTGTCAGAATTCCTCTCCCGTATGTTAACATGTGAATAGATTAGTCTCCCTACCTCTGCGGGGGGGGGGGGGGGGCGCTCAGGACCGGTGGGGTTAGCTTGCCCCTCCCCGCAGGTGCAGCCCCAGAGACTCCGTCCCCTCCCCCAACTGCCTGGCCTGGATCAAGCTCCAGCCCCAGGCCGGCGGGCCACCACTCACAGCCCCTTGTTGTACACCACTGTCCGACTACTTGTGGCCTGGGCAATCTCAGGCTCTAACTGGGATGTCTCAATCTGCGGAGAGAGCAAGAACAGAGAAGACAGGTTGTGGGGGGCAGGAGGGAAGGGGTGAGCATGGAAGCTGGGCGTAGCATTAGGAGCACCCTAGTGCCCACGGTTCTGCCTCTCCGCCACCTATGGACACATCCTTCTTTACCGCCCTCCTGCCAAGGGGCTCACAGTATCCCTTCCTGTCTAGGTCTTGTCTCTTCCTCTGGCGGCATGTCTGTGTGGGTGAGCGTCCTACGCTCTGACCTCCGAGTTGTGTCTTCCTCATCTCCAAGGGCCTTGTCCGCTGCACCGCACCACAGCCTGGGCCTGGCCACCACCCAAGGCTGCCTCACCCACACTCTGGAAATCCCAACTCCACCCTCTTGGACTCCACAGTCCCCTAGCCTTCCAGTACCCCCCCAACTCTCCCTATCCGTTTTTAGACCACAAAGACCTCAGGCCCCAGACTCCTGACAGCTCGGTCTTCACTCCCTCCCCTTCTAACCCGGACTCCAGCGGCCATCACTCCAGCTAATCCCTAGCCCAAAAAGTCCTTCCAGCCCCAAATGGCAGAAGCCCAGCTTTGGAGGAACTCCAACAGGCATCCACCTTCTCTCCACTTGAACTTTGACCACCTATTGGAGACCACTCAACATTCACAGCTGGACCCCCACAGTGACCAGCAAATTTCTCCCGGCCGACCACTTCACCCACTCAGCTCCTTCTCCCACTCTCCACAGACAGCCACCTTAAACCATCTCCGCCCTCCTCAGCCACCCCACCCTCAGCTCCCCACTCATCCTGAGCATAAGAGCCTTCCTTCTACTTCAGAGAAAGAGCCAAAGACAACAGAAGGAACCTCCCAGCGTCCCACCATCAAACCCATAACTACCTGTCCACACTGCTCCACGCCTGCCCTCCTGCCACCCCTCCCCTCGGAAGGCAGCACCTCCTGGGGTCCACCGCCCCCCACACCCACTCTGGGAGCCCACTCCCGGTCTGTCCTCCTCGTCTCCCACCTTTGCAGCCCACTGACTCTTGACCATCAGCATTTCAACACTGACAAGAACCTCCCATCTGATAAGACGTCCCGTTAACCCCATGTCACGCTCCAGCTACCGCCTGGTCTCTCTCCTCCTCAGCAACCACATTTCTTTAAAGCACCGTCTCAACTGGCCTTTTCCACCTCCTCACCTCCCACTGACTTTTCAACCCACAGCAAATCTGGCTTCTCTTCCCACCATACTCCACAAAAATCCTTCTCTCCAAGTTCAGTGCCGCCCCCAGGCTTTGTGACATCCACTGGACACTTGTCAGGGTCGCTGGGGCTTGGCCTGGCTGGGCCCTCTTCCCTGCACAACCCCCCAGGGGTGAGTCAACCCTCCCGGTGACTCCCAGATCTGAGGGGGCTCCCGCCATGTTTCTGCCCTGAGTCATGGGCCCGCAGGGACTGCCTACTAGACCTTCTCACGGACATCTCAGAGGCACTTGAACTCAACCCTAAAATCTAAATCACAACTGAGGTCACCATCTCCCCCTGCCCCACCCCAGCTCCCCACACCACCACCCAGTGGTGCCCTGGGCCTGCCTCGCCTCCTCTTTGCTTCCTTCCCCTCGAGTCCCAGCCGCACCAGTCCACCCCCACCTCAGACAGTGTGAGCCTTCCCAACCACAAGTTGGGCCACCCCTCTGTTCCTTATAAAGTGGATCAATGACCCCGCTGCCCTCAGGGACCCAGTCTAGACTCCCAGGCTGTCTGTCCCCTGCCTAGCTCTACCCTGCCCCTTGGACCGAAGACACCACACGCACTTACTTATTTCAGCGCCTCAGATCCCCTGGGCTTTCCCCAGCCTGACTCTTTGCCTGAGCCAGCCCCTCTGTCACCACCTCTCCTCCTCCTCCTCCCCACTCTCCCTGTTCTTCCTGGGGGCTTATCTTCCAGGAGGTCCAGGAGGCAGCTTTAGACATCTTCCCTCCTCCCGCCTGGGTGTGGCCACTTCCCTGGGCCCCCAAAGCTCCTGGCACTTCTTAATCCCAGTTGTATCACTTGTTGCTGAGGTTGACTGTCCACTCGTCCGCCCCTCTCCACTTTAAACAACAAGCTCCATGAGGCAGCAAACATGATGTGCGATCGATCGTGTTCATCCCTGCATCCTCAAGGCCTAGGGCCAATACACAGGAGGTATTCAGTAAGTGTTGAATAAATGAATGGGAAGAAGGGAGGCAGAAGGCACAGGGAGGAGAGCGTTCCCCTGGAGGCTCTACGGCAGCCCAGGTGTTGGTTTGCAGTTCCAGGGACTAAGCCAGTAGGGATGCCTGAGCCTCCCCCCCGCCCCCCCCACCCCCCGCCGGACGGAGCTGGAAAGGGAGGTGCTACCTCAGTGAGGGGGGCCTGGGCCTGATCTCCACCCTAGGTAGCGTCAAGGAAGTGCGGGGCCTTTGTGGCTTAGTTCAGCTGAACCTGCTCCCAGGTACCTGCTCTATGTCAAGGCAGGGCAGCCCTGAAGAGTAGGCAGAAGGTGCCATAGACCAGCCCTGCCTTCAAAGAACTCAGTCATGCCCGGGGCCGGGCACGTCAGAAGCCAGGCAAGAGGGAGCACAGTGTGGACCGGAGCTGCTGGGCATGGTGGAGTTCTGGGGCAAGGGGGACCCTTCCCCTGTAGTCCATGGTTCCCTGATACCCAGGTTCTGGCCACTGGAGAGGGCCAAAGAGCCAAGAGCTAGGCTCAGGGCCCAGGCCTCTTCCCCACCCCCTCTCCTCCAGCCACCTCTTCCCTCCCCACCCCTGCCGGCCTCTGAGTCCCCGCCACCCTACCAGTTCCCCTCGTCCCCATGCTGCCACTGACACAATGCACAGCGCCCACGCTTAAAAATCTAAATGCTTTTGAAAATGTTTAACCTAGTTAGACAAATTAGCAAAAATTTGTGCAAAACAATTTAGGTATTTAAAATATTCAATGTTTTTAAAAAACTGGAAAACTGTTCTTAGCTTTCAGCTGCAAAAACCAACAAAATATAACATCCCAGCAATCTTACCATGAGGTGTAACATAACCCTTCGGGAAAGCTGTTAAACAGCTACTGAGGCATCCTGGGAAATAGCACTTCATTTATTCAAATGCACATATGTCAGGCTTTTGCACCATATGTCATTCCAAGCTATTTACAGTAATAATTAAATCTTAATCAACGTTTAACCTCTGTAAAATGTTTGAAGAATCCTAATCACCCTTCAGACTGCACTAATGAAGGAGAAATATATAAACATAAAAGGAAAATGATGCACAGATATCACACTGGAAAGAACAGTAATTGCAAAATTGTATTTCTTTTAAATATAATCAGTAAATGATGTAAAGTAAGCCAAGGAGTATTTTAAGTTAAGACATCTTGGATGTCAGAGGTGTGAGCAGCTAATTTTGTTCTGCTACCCATAACAGATGTAGCATATTTTATTTTAGTGCCATTATTAGCAACTTCCCATCCCGGCTTTCACCGAAGCACTGAGGCCCGCATTAAAATCGGAGAGGCTGCTCACCACCATGGTGGAGGACCACGGGCCAGGGCCACGGCCCACTTGACCCACTCGACCCACTCCCTGGAGAGTGCTGGCCCGGGTGCAGACTGAGGTCTCATCCTCCCAGCGGGGTGCTGTCACAGACCCAGCCCCCCCCCCCCCGCCCCAGGCTCCCTGTGGTGCTGAGGGCAGCAGGTAGGAGGGAGGCATGGGGGAGATTCTGGCAGAGGAAAGGCTCTGGGGAGGGGAAGGTGGCTGAGGTACTCAGAAGCAGAGGCTTGGGGACAGAGTGGCATTCAAGGCTTTTTCTCTCATTTCAATTTAATCAGCCCTCAAGTCAGATGTTTATGGCTGCCAACGCCATCCACCAGGGCTGGGCACACAGAGGTGGACAGGGGATCTCCTCCACGCCCTTGAGAAGCTCAGAGTCTAGGGGAGGAGTCACACATGAAAGCACATGGATCCCAGAGAGACGAGGTGCCATGGAAACTGGGGAGGGGGTGGGGGTTACCATGTATTGATGAAGGAACAGGGAAGAAAGACTTCTCAGAGGAGGTAGGCCAGGAAGAAAATGGAGGATTTTGATTCGAGAGGGCAGGAAAAGCTGGGTGGATGAAGGGAGAAGCATCGGCTGGCCAGCATTGTTTGGCGCATGTGGGGAACGTGGCAGGAAATGGAGGTGGGATTAGGACAGGCAGGCCCCTGTAGGCCACACGAATGTGTCAGTGGGGGCCATGGGGAGCCATGGGAGGATTCTGAGCAGGGGCGGGCCATGATCCAGACTCTGTTTTAGAAATGTTTCTCCGGTGGCAGTGGATGTGGAGGATGGACTGGAGGGTAAGTGCGGGGGCAGCTGTGGGAATGAGAGCTGCCAGGTCCTGCCCTATGATGCTGCCAGGGGGGCTGTGGGGACGGTGGCACTGGGATCCTCTCTGGAGAGAAATCCATAGGAGTTGATGACCAATCCCATGTGGGGGTGAGAGGGAGGTGTCGAGGATGACTGTGCGTTGGACGACTCCTAATTCTAGCTCAGGAGCTGGGGTGGCTGGTGACGCTGTTGTGAGGCAGGGAATGCGGGAGGGGGACGGCTCAGGCTGGGCCATGTTGAGACCCCTGGGTGCAGAGGCCTGGGAGGCAGACAGGGCGTGGGTTCTGGAGCTCTGGGCAGGGGTCTGGGTGGGAGAGGGAGCCTGGGATGTGTAAGCACAGCCGGAGCCCCCGGAGTGGGGGAGCTTGCCCAGGAGAGCAGATGGAAAGGGAGGGCGCCAGGCCTGGAGAACAGGCACATTTGAGGGGCGGGTGAAGGGAACAAACCCATGATGGTGGCCTTGAGGGACCAGCCCAGGAAGCAGGAGCAGTGACAGAGGGTGCCACAGCATCAGGCAACATGGATACCAGGCAAACAGTTTTCTGAGTGGTCCCAATGAGGGCTGAAAGGCTTCGGCCTTCGCAATGGGATTTGGTGACCTCCGGAGTCCAGATTTCCTACCCCCAACTCAGCGCCGGCC